ATATGGAAAGGTTTTAAAGAACCGAATCGAGAGAGAATACTTAGATTATGAAGCAGAAAAACAAGCAGGATTTCATACGGGTCTATCCACTATTGACCAGATTTTCTCCTTAACTCAGATAATAGAAAAAAAGATGGCACGGAATTAGGAGATTCATATGTTAAAAAAAACTATAACTATATGTAATTTAAAGGGTTTTTACCCATGTATTTTTGGTGAGAACATCGTCTGTCCAAACAGATTATAGATTGGTCACCACATGGAAAGAGCAAAAGAGGCCGACCCAGAAAGAGCTGGAGAGAAGGAATAAACAGAGAGATCCGAGAGAGAGGTTTAGACGAAAATCTTTGGGAAGATAGAGATGCATGGAGATTGGGCATCGGAAGACGTCGGAGGACGATTTAAACCGATTATATATATATATATATATATATATATATATATATATATATATATATATATATTTATGGTGGCTCAGGCATTTTAACCTAGCGATTTTAAAACCTGATGATGGACTGTTTAGTCCGAAAACGTTTGTTTTTTTGATGTAGCCCTTTTAAGGGTTTTTAAATAAATATACCCACTTACGAAGACTAACCTCTTTTATTTGTGATACGTGGTATACAGGAATTGTTTTCCTTGTGGATTCATATGTTGCTCGTCGACCTACGGAAAGTCTACGACTGCGTTGCACTGAAGAAGCTGTGGCAATCAGTGGAAAGCACGAATATTAATATAAAATTAATAAAAGCCGTCAAAATGCTATACAACCAACCAATAACAAAAATAAGAGCAGGTACACAAATATCAACTGAATTTATAACATTAAAAGGATTAAAGCAAGGATGTTGTCTTTCCCCTACTTTATTTAAAATATACCTCGAAAGTGCTTCAAAAAGATAAAAACAAAAATTCAGGACAATGGGATACCTCTAACTATGTGGCACGACAATTAATTGAAAAATATTATGTATGGGGTCTAGCAGTAAATAAAAAGAAAAGGAAATACCTGTGCATTGGAGTAGAACAAATATATCTTATATTAGACGATAACACCACAATAAAGTACTGCTGTGACTAAAAATATCTTGGTATCACTATTTTACAAGATGGAACATTAGACCGAACCATAAGAGAGAGAAATACGTCAGAGAAAAAAGCCATCACAATGTTAAACAGCATTTTAGACGACATAGAGGTAATAATCCGCTAATTAACAAGCAGAAGTGCTTATAAAGAGGAAGAAGAAGAAGAAGAAGGAGAAGATAATATCAGTTTGGTTAACCCACTTGCAAAGAAATATTAATTATGCATATAAGTAGAAGTGCTTATAAAGAGGAAGAAGAAGAAGAATGAGAAGATAATATCAGTTTGGTTAACCCATTTGCAAAGAAACATTAATTTATTAGAGAGAGTACGACGAAGAACTACCTTTTAATTATTACAAATTAAACTATGAAACTCGACGAACGTTTAGTTGTCTCCATTACCTCATAGACGAGACAGAGCCTATGTAATATATGTAACATCGTCTACGTAGACGACGTACTGGTATGTTTCACAGGAACTAACAGGCAACTCGACCAATTTTTATCGTATATTAATTCACTTCATAGTCATATTGAATTTACAATACAAACAAAACAAAATCAATACATAAATTTTTTAGATTTAAAAATTAGCAGAATTTAAAACAAACATGACTTCTCCATATTTCATAAACCTACCCATACTGACACGACTATACACAATTCATCATCCCATCCAACACGACATAAACTGGCAGCTTATCATAGTATGTTACATAGATTAACAGAACTTCCGATGTCAAAATACAACTTTGAGACAGAATTAAATATAATTAAGCAAATAGTAGTAAACAACGGATACAACGAACAAACAATTAATAAAATGTTAAATCAAAAACTACACAAGAAAGCCCTGAAATTAGTATTTCCACCACCAGAGAAAAAACCCAGTACATATACAGGCAAAATAACAACAAAAATTGCCAAACACATAAAAAAGAAAGGAATAACACCAGCTTTCCGAACAAATAACAACCTAGGCAAATATATTAAAAATAACAAGAGCCAAAATAAAAAACACTTAAATAGTGGTGTGTACAAACTTCAATGTGGCGACTGCCCAAAAACATACATCGGTCGAATTGGTAGAAACTTTGATAAACGAATAGCAGAACATAAAAGGGCTTTCAAAATTAGAAAAACAGATTCGACATACGCACTTCACCTTCTAGATCATAATCATTCTTTTAATGACAAATTTAAAATTCTTTACATTCAAAATAAAGGCCTTAAGCTATCTTTGTTAGAATCTATGGAAATCAACAAATTAAAAAACACAGATATAATTCTGAATGACCAACTTGAGACAAACAGTTCTCCCCTCCTCAACCTATTTCATTAGAGACTATAAATTTGTAAACCCAAATAGATCACTTAAGAAAGGCAATCAGCTGAAACAGCTGTAGTGATAAGATTTAAAATAAATTTTGTGGAAGTTTGAAAACAAAGTATTCAGTCTTTTATTGTTACATAAAATGAATTTCCATCAAGTAACGGTCGAATCCATCAATTAAGTAAATAATTATTTGGAAAGAAGATAAGTATCTCGACACGTGGCATATAGGTATTCCAAATAAATAAAGTACCAACATTAATCAAATTTGAATATAATTATTTGTACTCACCGTGGTTAATTGCACAAGTTTGGAATGAAAACATTAAACGACAGGTAAACTATTGTATGTAGTCGTGACTAGTCGAAAAACTTTATATTTACTGATTACCGTGAACTGTAAATTTAAGATATCATTTACGGAACGGTATCAAGTGTTTGTAAATTAAGATAATAAAATACGTATAATAGATAAAGGAATCGTCAGTGACGTATTCATTTTTTCTCAAGGAAATGCAGGTGTGGTGGAATAAAATGAAAAAGGTTATCATTAACTCGTAATATAGTACTTCAGCTGTATATGGACTCATTTTAAATTTCGCACCTTTATTCAGAAAAAGAAATAACTCAAAATTTAAATTTGGTGGGAAAACGCATTTAAAGATTGATATTTGCTTGATAGATTTAAAGATATAAAGATTTGCAAAAAAATATATAAAAATGGTTTTATAGTAATTCCAAAAGTAGGAGTGGGTAGTGTAACTAATGCATTATTATATTGTGGTTCCATATAATTATATTTTTAAACTTTAATATGTATAAATTAATTTTATAAAAAAAATTCATATTTATTTCACTCTTTGATGAAAAATATAATATCGTAATTTAGACAAAGTCGAAACAATTTTAAATAATGCAGTTTTATATTAAAGTCACGTATCATGTAGGTGAACTATTTAGACTTATTGCGGTATTGGCTTATACTAAAAAAATAAACCACGAAACTAATAATTTTTGTTCACAACTAAAATAGGATTTTTGTAAATAAAAAGTCGTGTTTTTTGTTTTATCTATAATTAAATAACACATTCTTATTAAACAATTAACACCTAAGTTTGATTATACTTATAATAGTCATAATCAATATAATTATTAAAAAAAAAACTTAAAAGATAGAATTATAAAACCCAGCATAAAAAGAAGGAACTAATCCCTTTGAAATTAGTTCTTTTAAGTATTTTTTCTTATTTTCGCTTATTTTTTGTTTATCACAATAGGCTGTTTTAAGTTCTATTTCTGTAATTAGTTTCATTTTCTTCCGTTTATTTCTAACATTTACTTCCCGGTAATTTTCATCTTTGTATGATGTTTTATAATAAATAGAAAAAGGTTTTCCTTTAGCGATTTTCAGAAATTTTGATTTCGTTCCAATTAGGATTATGTTCCTTCTGTATTAGTTAAATAATTATATCCCCATTCTTCTTGCAATAATTTTAAATCGTAAAATGATTCAAAATTTAGTTCATGAACAATTATCGAAGGTAGGGACTTTTTGGCATTTTTAATTAAAGCAATATATTGGTCTGGTGTGTATATCGGACCAGATTTTAAATTTTTTTAATTTCCTTTTCAATTAGGCTATGGACACTATCAGCCTCATTCTGCGTGTGGTCCCTTATTAAATATTTATGTGTAATGCTTTTTATTTTCAATGTTTGCACAGCAAGAAGATATAGAGATGTTAAATATTTATTTTTGTTCTGGCCACAACAATTGTCCGAGTAGAAAAAATTTCCTTTTCATCATCGTCTTCATCAGTTATAGCTTTTAGATATGCCCTTACACATGATCCAATTTCTATAGCCCCACGTTTAGCCTCACTCTCCGACCAAAAATAGCAATGTACATTTTTGTAGGCTGCCTTAAAATCCTGGGGTGTTAATTCGGTTAAGATTAAGTTGTAGCAATTAAGCTTAGACTTATAGTAAAAGGAAGAGTTACCTCTTGGGCATTACAACACCGCTTCTAAATCAAACACAACTACTTTGATATTTTTATTTATTTCTCTGCGATCATTAGACTTTTTAATTCTACTATGGTTTTTCTCTTTTATATGCGTTTGGTATTTTTCTTCTAGGTCCTTCTTTTGTTCAGCATTAGAATTATTATACGAGGTGCATAGATCACATTGATCCTTTTTTGGTTGAAAAAAGGAGAGATTAAATTCTGTTGTAAACATTTTATAATATTTACTACAAGTACCTGCGTCTCTATTATCATTTTCTTGCTTTAGCTTAAAATCATTAAACAAATCTTTCATATTTTTGCTGCTATCAATATATTCCTTTGTTGTAGAAGCTCGAAAGTAGTGTGATTCAATTTTAGGCATAGATTGAATGTGCTCAATGATTGCAGCTCGTAATTCTGGACTAATTTTTCTATGACTGTCATGTCTGCCTCTAAAATCAGTGTGCGAAAAATCGTTGTTGTTTATTTTATTCTGTATCGTAAATATCATCCTATCAGAGATGTCCAATGTAGCCAAAAGTTTTACAAACTCTAATCGTCGTATTATTCACAATGAAATGAAATGCTTTATTGTTGTGTCTGGGTCTCTGAGCATTGCTATATTTGTATTTAGGCTGAATGTCAATCATAGTGGCACTTATGTATGCTCTTTGTTTACTTAAATCACCTAAATCCCAAAACTTCTTAAAAAGGTCGTACCTACACTCTATATTAATATTTGTAGTGCATTTAAGTCTACATTTTTCTGTACATGGTTCTTTAAGACACCTGGCTGATATAGTCTTTTTTGTTTGCGACATAGATACATATGATTTTCCTGTATTACGCCTGCGCTTAAGTTTATTTTGTTTCCATTGGGAAGGATTTTTAGTTCGTTTGCGTCCCGTTTTTGGAATATAATTACCAGAAAAACGATAGGAATCTGCCGAACTGGTGGAAGAAGATCTCAAATTTTCAAAAAAGTAGTTTCTCTTTTTTTTAGGTTCAATGATAACGAATGTTGGATCTGTATCGCTTAAGTCAACATCACTTTCATCAGTCCATAAAGGAGAAGTGTAATAATTTTGAACTCTTTTTAACTCTCTGAGATGACGATTTACTACCTAAAAGATCAATATAATTTAATAGTATAAATTATCTATAATAAATATTAACAGCCATAAATAATAACTTACAACGCTATCGCTGTCCAGTTCATCAACAGTCACGTTCTGAGTAATATGGGTTAGTAAGTTTACTTTTGCTGGTGATGGAGAACAATTGGACGACTCCGAAGATGAACTATCGGATGAATCCAAAGATGAAGCTGACGATGATGAACTATTTGATAAAGACTGAATGAGACGATGTCCTTGCTCCGTAGTTAAGCATCCAGTAACAATATTTTCATTGTCAGATAAACTACCGTCAGTGTCATCATAAGGTACTAAGGGTTGTATGTTTGCAAACTGAGATTTCTGTAATTAAAAAGCATAATTATTATAATTTATAGTTATGGTATTAAAATACTAATAATACAGTAAATTTGTGATTCAGTTTACAAACTTTAAGTACTTACTATTACAGCTACTTCAACTGAGTTATCGAAACTATCCACTGGTTCCGTTGCCATTTTAACCTCCATATTAACATTCTTCTGGATCTTAACAGCGAAACCATTTTCACTATCTTCATCTTTCCTCACTAGAGGTCTCTCGTTGCATACTCTGGCAGTTATTTTCATGTAATTGCCAGAGTAATCGGTGCGTTTTGATTTGGTTTGAGTCTTCTTACAAACTCCTTCTGATGACGGGTAGACCCAGAAACACGTGTCAGGGAGTGGTAAGAGACTCAAATTAAATCGAAACGCAACCTTCTTCGTTAAATTATATGTATTTTAATTTATGTAATTTATTAAAATGTCAATTACTTCCACATTTATCCTTAATATGCTTAAATCTATTGAGAAAATTGCAAGAATAACACAAAAATATAAAGCTATAAAAAAATGGAAGTGACTCATAAGTTTAAGTCAGAAGCTATGAAATTAAACGGTTAGTTTTTTTAAGAAACTTTTTGTTATTCTGTATAATGAAATAGGTACACAGAAAGATTTCATTTTTAATACTATGTAAGCATATAATATATACTTAATTTGGCCCTTTAACAATTCTCTAAAATAAAATATTTGACCCCAAAACTAAATATTTTATTTGGACACATAAAAAGGATTTGACAAATTTTATTGAAAGTTGCATAATCCTTCTTGATATATGTAAATTTCTTAAAGCTGTCGGTGAACCTTTGAGTGATGGAAAAAGGACAGTCTTTATAAAAAAATAATGTTAAGTTGGCCAAACCACAAAAGTCTGTCCTAAAAGGTTCAGGGGTTAGATATCTAGTGAAATTTTGTGATTGTCCTTTTTGTTGCGAAATCGCGCCGGAAAGCACATCATGAAATCATCAATACAGTAGCGTATCCTATAGTGAGATATTATTATTTCTGTATTCAATAGTACGAGTATTTTCATTTTATAACACAACAATTTATAAAAATAGATTATTTTTTACAAATAGATAAGCTTTTTAAATTACTTTTAATTATTTTACAGTTATTTTCACTGGCTGATAGGAGAGTGATTACAGTAAAGACACTGTAAAGTGTAAGCAACTGTAAAAATAGTATTACGAGACCTAATTAGTAAATGTTTGAAGAAACGAAAATTAATTGAAAAGGTTCATCTGCACAACCGTGCTTATTGAATTAAAGAACGAGATCATTAGTATACAGGGTGAGTCCCTGTATACCCTGTATACAGGGTGAGTCATGAGGAACTGTATATACTTCTCCCATATGTAGAGTCCCTCAGGGAGCATATCATGTGGCCACTAAAAAATGTCAACTCCTCTTCTTTATTAATTAACAGGGTGATTTGTGTAATTGACCATTTATTTCATTTTACTGTAGTGTTTATACGGCTCATTTGATTTTTTTAATTTTTGCATGATACAGTACACTACTATCAAGAATTCGACTGGTATTAGCTAAACTAAAAAATTCCAGGACTGGCTTTGGAAAAATTAATTTAGGGATTCGTATTAAATATTACACCCTGTATATATATATTTTTTCAAATGCAATAAGTGATTTTCAAACTACATAAATAGCCAATGAAAACGACATATGCGACAATGTTGTCGCGCTTTTATTAAATTTGTAGTGAACGATCAAATCTTACCAAAAATAGAACAACCATAATGAAGTATCAAATTATAAGGTATTTAATTTAAACAAATGTTATATATTTCAAACATTTTAATTGAAATGATAAACTGAGTCACTGCACAACAAAAAACAGTAACTACTAACAATAACGAAGAACAATTTAAGAAAAAACTAAAAATATGTACATAGTTATGATAAACCCATAAATTAGAACTGGAAAAGATACAATAATGGTAACAAAATAAAAATAATTCAAAATGGATTTTCGAAATGGAACCCTGCAGCCTGTACACATTTTTGTTGCCAAATTGTTAATTGACGTATTAAATTACGGATACTCTGGGGACCGTTTCTAATAGTATTACAACAATGTATAATTCTATTAATTAATTGTTGTCGATTATTAATATTCACTGCGTAAACTAGTTGCTTTAATCGTCCCCAAATATGGTAATCAACGGGATTGAAATCAGGGGATCTTAAAGGCCACGAAATAGGACCTGCACGTCCTATCCACTTGTTGCCATAAACATTATTGAGAAGTTGTCTAACTGCCAGTAAAAAGTGTGGGGGTGCCCCATCATGCTGAAAATACATCCCTCGGATAGCAACGTTCGCGTTGGCATGCAAATTCGGCAAAATATTTTGTAGAAAGTTCAAATAAACTTGCCCTGTTGAAGGACCATCAAAAAAGTGAGGACCTACTGTTGGTTATTTATGACACCAATTCACACGTTATCCGAAAACCTTAACTGAGAATGACGTTCTCGAATAGCATGGGGATTTTCTTCTGCCCACACATGTGAATTTCGTGAATTATTTATCCCGTCTCTGGTAAATTGGGCTTCATCTGTAAATAGTGTCCTGTATAGCGTTGGTCGATTATTGTTAATCCATCTACAAAATTCCAACCTATTGATCTCATCTCCAGCATTTAGTCGCTGAACCATTTGAATGTGATATGGGTATAGATTATTTTTTTGTAAGACTCTACTTACTTTTGATTGAGTAACATTAAGTTCTCGACTTACTTGTCTAGTGCTTATTATAGGGTTCATAGTAACGGCGTCCATAATGTCATCTTCCTGCGCTTCATCTACATGTCGCTCTGTTGTTCCACTAGGAAAAGTGCCATTTTCTCGCAAATAATTAAAAACTGACCCAAATGTTGGATGACTGGGAGTTCGACGATTAGGAAATCTCCTGCGATATTCTCTACTAGCAGCCCTACCATTCCCATTACAGAATCAATAAACAAATATTATGTCTGCATATTCTGTGGTCGAAAACTGATGTGGAATTTTGAACGAAAGTAACAAAAGCTCTACCAAAACTAACACAATGTACTTAACGTAGATATGACAGAAGAAATATGTATTCTTGTACACATAAATAACAATTGATAATGACAATAATGACAATGGGTATAAAATATCAAGAAACGTCAAACGGTCAACGCCAACCTTCATTTTAAACTTTTTTAGATTTATTTTTATTTAGTACATATTTAATCATTTACAATCAACAAAAACACATACACATAACACATAACACATACAAGAGGTTTGACTTTTTAATCAATTTAATTTATTATTTATCGAAAATAATGCCCCAATACGATCTATGAGTAAAAATTTTAAATTGAAGAACAATTGATTCTATCGTAGAGATAATACAAATTGACAGTAAATATGTTAATTTTCTACGTATTAGATTATGTTGTAGGAGCTCATTTTAATAAAAATGTTTGAAATTTATAACATTTGTTTAAATTAATACCTTATAATTTGATACTTCATTATGGTTGTTCTATTTTTGGTAAGATTTGATCGTTCACTAAAAATTTATTAAAAGTGCGACAACATTGTCGCATATGTCGTTTTCATTGGCTATTTATGTAGTTTAAAAATCACTTATTGCATTTTAAAAAATATATATACAGGGTGTTATATTTAATACGAATCCCTAAATTAACTTTTCCAAAGCCAGTCCTGGAATTTTTTAGTTAATACCAGTCGAATGCTTGATAGTAGTGTACTGTATCATGCAAAAATTAAAAAAATCAAATGAGCCGTATAAACACTACAGTAAAATGAAATAAATGGTCAATTACACAAATCACCCTGTTAATTAATAAAGAAGAGGAGTTGACATTTTTTAGTGGCCACATGATATGCTCCCTGAGGGACTCTACATATGGTAGAAGTATGTAAAGTTCCTCATGACTCACCCTGTATATTATGTATATATATTTAATCAAAACTTTGTTAAAATTGGGTCCGCTCACAAGATTTTATTCAAGCAAGGGCCTTGTAGTTAATTCCATTGGATATAAACATTACCACATTTTCAGATTTGAACCACCACTGTTTGAAAAGGACCATCGAGAGGGGGAAGAAGCTCGTAAGGATTATGACGTGTAAATGTTGAAAGTTGGGAGATTTTACGACTACAGCGATACTCCTCTTGTAGTATTTTATCCGCTCGTTTGGATTTAAATAGGCCCTGCAGGATATTCATGTCATAAAAAATTTAATCAATGTATGGTTATCGCCAAATTAGTTTTTTTTTTCATTAGTGTGTCGTTAGAACGTCTGGGATGCAGGGTCGGCGATGAGATTTAATCTGGTTATGTGGGCGTCAAAAGATTGAATTCGGAAATTATGCTACAATTTTGGTTCGTTGCGAGGAGCACATATGAATGCAGATAATCATCTATGTAGGAAATTTTCTATCGTTGTGTCATTAGAGGTAATTATGTTATTTACTATCTCATATTTCTAGAGATACATATGTAAATAATAAGTTAAATTACTAAACAGTGTATGCCTCAAATGTAGAGATTGTCCAAAGTTATGCTTCTACTATAAACTGTAAAAAATACAATAATTTTAATGTAAAATAAGTCCATGATAAATGAGTTAGGGGAAACCGGGGGAATTTTGCGCACCTAAGGTAAACAACTTACAAAAAGTTTCATATGTGCAAACAAGCTTCCATAATGTAACTGTACAGTATATTTACTGTACAGCGACAGTATATTTTAATACAGTTTACCAGTAACCTTCAAATATAATGTCAGACACGTTAGAAATATATTACAGTGACATATAAATGGACGGCACAGTTACGCCGCCACCATACACCGTTCCAGAGTTAATATCACCATTGGGGAACACACCAAAACCTAACACCCCGGGCAAAGGCTGCGAGCCCCTGATAAAGGCTATTTCCAAATTTAAAAACCTTTTCGATGAACCAACCATGGGCATCACACAAATTCAGAAAGTCCAGTCAATTCCAGTGTCAATCCCGCTGATCTCACTAATTCCGCCGCAGCATAAAGGAAAAAAATACAGACTGAGACTCCCGAACCGGGTGCTGAGGATAAAAACCAATAATTGAAG